AAAAAAAAATTGTGTCAGAATTCCTGTCACTACCTTAGAGTGATATACGAAGTCACAGTGTAGACACTGCCTTCTTTCATCTTCCACCATTTGTCACCCTACTCTTGAACCCTAAACTTCTACAATATCAATTATTAATCAGATCCATGTAAATATATACTATTTTCCTAGCAAAATTCATTCCTTTCTAATTCCCTACATAGTATACTTAATTAAATCATCTTCTACAGTGTGGTTTCAAGGTCATCCCTTCTCTGCTAATTTTTCCTAGATTCAATTAGGTAGAGTTCACTACTCCTGAGAACTACCATTGTCCTTTTTGTGATTACTTGTATGTCTGATTCATCCACTAAATTGTGACATCATAGGGCGCAAAGACGGTGTGCTAATTCATCCTAAATCCCTAGTTGCTGAACCCAGAGTCAAGTGTAAATCTTTTTTAGTGAAAAAGTGATTGAGCATGAATAAAGATGCTGTCACTGAAAGCTTTGGAAGAAGGGAACAGATGCAAAAAGTGTAAAAATTATTCCTGTGATACATAAAGAATGAGAATGGATATGAAGAAATATGGGGCCAAATGGTGAGAATCAGTCTGGGACACATATGTTGAGGAAAAGTGTGATCCTATGATTGGTTATAAGGATAAAAAAGCAAGACATAAAATGATACAAGTTCAAACTCAAGAGACCAGGTAGAGAGTCGGAATCAGAGAAAAAGAGAACCAGTCTAAAAAGATGATGGTTTTCAAATGAAGATGAAGGCTACAAGTTTGAATTTAAGAACACACCTATCCTACACACATGGCGACATCTTGTTCCTGTATCTCCCTTTCCTACTTCTCTCTTCCTTTGCATTCAGGTCTACTGGACATAGGGAGACCTTAAAGAAAACTGGCAGTAGGGAAAAAAGCCACGTAAATGAAATTTACTCTCCCAAAATACAGGAAAAAAAAAAAATCATAGTTAAAAAGTAGGAAGAAACTTTGATTTGTAATCCCAAACTCATGATTTATCTTGGAAAATCAAATTAAAATTTACATTAAAGCATTTCTTTCATATTTACTAAAATTTAAATTACAGTTCCAAACATATGATTTTAAATATAAACATAGAATTGCTTTTTTTTGTTATAATACCAAACTTATGACAGTACAAATTGAAATTCTTAATTTACTTTTCTTTCTTTTTTTTTTTTGGTGTTTTTGAGACAGTCTCCCTGTAGCCCTGGTAGACCAGGCTGGCCTTGAACTCACAGAGATCCGCCTGCCTCTGCCTCCCAAGTGCTGGGATTAACTCGTGTGCCACTAATGCCAACCTTTTATTTTTGTTTTTATAGCACATTCAAAATTGCATAAAAAACTTCAGAGGGCTTCATAAATTCCCTCATGGGATCCTGTTAATTCTTATATTTAAATTATTTTCATTTATGATAAAACCTTTTCAGAGATGGTATCCTAGGGAAAAAAATTCAGACTACAGTATTTGGGCAATAATGAAATACTTAATATTATCCGAGATGATGACAGGCTTTTCTATCCAAGAAGATGACAGGCTTTTCTGATCTGTGATTCATGTGAGTCTAATACTTAGCTTATAAATGAAAGGTGGCATTTATCTCCAAACTGCATTACAGGTGTAACAGAAAAATAAACACCTGAATTGTTTAGTTTTAGCAATGCTAATACTTACATCAATATTGACAGGTTCTATTGTATTTATATGCACATTGGGAGCTGAGGAGGACCGGTCTCGTTGCCCAAACTGATTTCGATGATCTTCATCTGCTGGTCGGAAGGGCTGTGGAATTGGAATGGATTTTGAAGGAGATGGACTGGTGAGAATTTGGGGCCTGGAAAAATCGAGTCAGTGGAAGGTAAGAGTCAGGGCAATTATATAAATAGTAATGAAAAATGAAAAGATAGTAATATTTTTGTATTTAATATAATAATCTTTTTTTTTTTTTTCTGTCTGTCTTTTTGAGACAGGGTCTCCCAGTAGCCACAGCTGGCCTGGAACGTGCTATGTAGACGAGGGTGGCCTTGAGCTCACACAGATCTGCCTGCCTCTGCCTCTGAAGTGCTGGGAGTAAAGGTGTGTGCCACCAAGCCCAGATCTTATTATAAAAATCTTTCAAATAAAGAACTGAAATTCCAATAGTAATGGCTTTAAAAAAGCATTAGTTTAAAGAACATTCTTACAACTAGTACTGCCAAAGCTGCTCTGCTCAAAAGCAGGCCCTCCAGGGACTATCAATAAGAACAATGATTCTGATCCAGAAAACTCCAGAAGAATCTACAAACAGCTAGAAATTACCTGTAGTTAATCAGCTGAAGAAGCTCTTTATCCTTTCAAGTTCTATGTGTTTATATGCTCTAGATTAGGGGCTGGCTGAATAAAATATGCTATTTATTTAAACCATGACATTAAAAAAATTTGGTTACTCCAATGAAAAGTTTAAGGATGCAATTAGGAAGCTGTAAATCTATTGAAGACCTACCTGCTGTTTTATTTTTTATTTTTGGTCTTTTTGAGACAGGATCTCTCTGTAGCCCCAGTTATTTTAGAACTCACTATGCAGACCAGGCTGGCCCTGAACTCAACAGAGCTCTGCGTGTCTCTGCCTCCCAAGGGCTGGGACTAAAGGCGTGCGCCACCACGCCTGGCCTACCTGTTGTTTTATACCAGTGCTGAATGAAATTTCTAAACAATATCAAAGATCAATTCCACAAGGCATGGTAGTGCTTGCCCTTAATTCCAGCACTTGAGAGGCAGAGGCAGGTGGATCTCTGTGAGTTTGAGGCCAGCCTGGTCTACATAGTGAGTTCCAGGCCAGGCCAGCCAGGAATACAGGAGACCCTGTCTCAAAAAGATCAAAAAATAAAACAAAGCAAAACAAAAAACCAATAAAAAAAAAAAGAGAAAAGAACATTTCCAAATATTCATAAGATGATCTTTACATCAATTATCTTTCACATTTTGAAATGTTCTATCGTACCCAGTTAATGGCACCAGGGACAAAAGAAAAGAAAATCATATAATGTTAAACACTGAAGCAAGTATCTAACTTTTTTTTTTTTTGGTCTTTTTGAGACAGGGTCTCCCTGTAGGCCCAGCTGGCCTGGAATTCACTATGTAGACCAGGCTGATCTTAAACTCTCAAGAGATCTGCCTGCCTCCGCCTCCTGAGCGCTGGGATTAAAGGCATGCGACACCACGCCTGGCTATCAAGTACTTAAACAAAAAAATTCTGTGCATGCATTGCCTGTGTAGGTGAGAAGAGGGCTTTGGATCACCTGGAACTGGAGTTATAGATGGTTGTAAGCCACCATGTGAATGCTGGGATTTGAACCTGGGTTTTCTGCAAGAATAGTCAGTCCTCTTAACCACTGAGTCATCTGTCCAGTCTCTTCACCTTCTTTTTTGAGATGGGAACCCTTCACTGAACCTGGAGTTTGCTAATTAGCCAGTGAGCTCTGGGGATCCTATTTCTGTACCCCCAGTGATGGGGTCACAAGAGTACACAGCCACACCCAGCTTTTTAAGTGGATGGGGATCAGAATTCAAGTCTTCAAGTTTGCAAAGCAAGCACATTAGCTACTGAGCCATCTCCTTAGCCCTTAAGTTATTTTAATCAAAATCCCCTAATAGGTTAGAGTGACCTATTTTTGTGCGGTAGATAAATAATGGAATCTATAGGGGCCTGACACAACACTGAAATTTTGAGAGAGACTATAAAGATCTATAAGGATTCTGCACCTCTCAGAAAGATATCCTTGGGGGCAGGGAAGGGATCATTACCTGGTAAAGGATTATAGTATGGCTCTGACTGAACTCCAATAGGACCATGATCACTTAACACTAATAAGCTTTTCTCACATGCTGGTATCATTTTACCCCATATATCATGCAAACTCTAAGCAGCATTATTTAATGGTTATTAGGCTAAAAAAAAACAATATTGAAGGAACAAAAAGACATGCCATCAGAAGAGGCATTAGAGAAGAACGGTAAGAAAATATAATAAAAGGAGCCAACGAGATGGGTCAATGAGCAAAGGTATTCACCACCAAGCCTGACAACCTGGGTTTAATTCCTGGGATCCATGTGGTAGAAGGAAAGTCAATTCCCCAAAGTTGTTTTCTGACCTCCACATACGTGTCATGGAGTGTGTGTGCATGTGTGTGTGTCACACAAAACAAATCAATGTATTTAAATTTTCTTTCAAATAGTAGGAAAAGTATTGAACAAAGGTTTGAGGAGCAAAGCTCAAGAGTGACAGAAAGGCTCTGAATAAAGCACATCAATGGAATATGAAGCACATAATTACTAAGGATAAGGGAAGGCATTTTTATGTTAGGGGTTTGTATTGATTAGAAATGAATAGCAAATAAATATGATGCACTAATCCCAGCACTCGGGAGGCAGAGGCAGGCGGATCTCTGTGAGTTCAAGGCCAGCCTGGTCTACATAGTGAGTTCCAGGCCAGCTGGGGCTACAGGAATGGTCTAATATAATAATTTAGCATGGGTAGATCAATAGAGGTAATAAATCATTTCTGAAACTTATGGAGTCAGTACTATGACAGAAATATGTACTGGGTAGTAGGCCAGAACTGGGTATACAAAGGACACTGATCCAGCATCAAGAAAAAATAAAACCTACATTTACTCTGGAAAAACATGACTATTACTCAAGACCAGAGATGCATTTAATACCACTTGGAGGGTAAAGGTGTGCCTTGGTTCAAAGTTAACTTGTCTAGCCTCAAAGACAATATTTCAAATTATCATACCTTAAAGTATTAAATATCCGAATTGAGTCCTAATTCCATGCTTAACAAAAATAATCTTCTGATTATAATTTGGCTTCTCGTAAACTTCTTCCAAAAGAGTTCAAGTTCATCCAACATAAGAAGTCTGGCTTATGTAACGGGTATATTTTACACTGAAATGAGTTACTTAGGATTCTCATTTAGTCATCTTATTTTGCTTAATTTAAACCAGTATATTCCCATCTCCCATCATTTCTGTGAAATGATAAAACTGAGTTTCCATACTGTGAAAATCTTCCCTGGAGTAAGGTATTTATACTCAATGAAGTTCCTTGGCCACCATCTACCTGGTTTTCTCATTCACCCTGCTGCAAACTTTTTAAAGCAGTACCAAATTAAAAAACAAAACAAAACAACAACAACAACAAAAAAAAACTCTAAAACTTTTCAGCAAATTACTACCAGCTAATTTTTTTGGATTAATTGATTGATTTCATGTATATGAGTGTACTGCCTACACGTATTTTTTTATTTTTGGTATTTTTTGAGACAGGGTCTCTCTGTATCCCCAGCTGTCCTGGAAGTCACTATGTAGACCAGGTTGGCCTTGAACTCACAAAGATCCACCTGCCTCTGCCTTGAGTGCTGGGATTAAAGGTGTGCGCCACCACACCCAGCTGCCTACATGTATGTAAGTACACCTGTGTCATACAATGCCTGCAGAGGCAGGAGAGGGCATTGGATTTCCTGGAACTGGAGTTAGGATGGTTGTCTCCCAAATTCCTTGGTTATACCCATTATTATATTTGCTCCATGAGCATTGTAATTGTGAGGACTAGAGACAAATACAAAGAACTATGAAACTGAACACAGTAGACTTCGTTTTTACAAAGGCAATTTTCCACACTGACATAAAAGCAGTGGAAATTAACTTGTAGAGAGGTTTGCACATCTTTTTTTTGGTCTTTTTCAGACAGGGTCTCCCTGTAGCCCCAGCTAGCCTGGAACTCACTATGTAGACCAAGCTAGTCTTGAATCCTCAGAGAGCCACCTGCCTCTGCTTTCCGTGCTGGGATTAAAGGCATGCAGTACCATGCCCGGCAGAAGTTTGCACATCTTTCAAAACTAGAATCCATTTCACTCTAGTTAAGAATAAATACACGTGGCAAATGATTTCTTAATTTTAAAAGAACACTCCTTCACAGGAAGACAAATGTCTTGTATTGTTACTATTATGAAACTTCAGAGAGGCCAAGATAATTTCATTATTATGCTCTGCTACTCTGCTCACAGAACTGAGACCTGCCTGGCATTAGAAAAGCATCATGAATCTATAGAATCTGTCAGGAGAAAATGTCATAGCTAAAGGATTAATTAAAATCCACAGCAATAATAATGTTTTGATTTGACCATCTTAAAAAGACAGACAATTAATGATGGCGTCAACAGAGATGACTGTTACAATCTGACAAAACTGCATAGTGGTCACATTTTTCTAGTGTTACAAATAAGATAATAAACTCACTCCTTAAAACAAAGTTCATTTTTATATTTAAAAATTCTTTTAATTATCATGTACGTATCAGTGTAGTCATGTGCATGCTCCCAGGCTTCTTTGTTGATTCTCTTGTCTGTGCCCTACTTTGTCAAAGGAATGTTGGGATTACAGATGTGCCTCTATCTATGACCTTTTGCCTGGGTTCCAAGGGTCAAATTTAGGTTTTCAGGATTCTTCAGCAAGCACTTTTTACCTGTTAAACCATCTCCCAGTCCCCCAAATTGTGTGTGTGTTTGTGAGCGGGGGGTCGGGGAGAGAAGGGTGTATGCATGTCAAGAGACCAAAGGAGGCAAATGGGTGCTCTCTTCTGTCACTCTCTCTCTTATTCATCTGAAGAGTCTGTGCCTGAACCTGGAGCTTTAATTTTTCCAGCAAAGCTGCAAGCCAGCCAGTTGTAGCAATCCTGTCTCTATCCTTCTCAGAGCTAGGGTTACAGGTGTGTGTAAGATCATGCTTGGCTTGTTATGTTGGTGCTGGGATTCAAACTCTGGTCCTCATGCTTGTCCCAAACTCTATGAGTAGCTGAGGATGACCCCGAACTTCTGACCTTCCTGCCTTTACTTCCTAAGTGCTGGGATTATAGGCATGTGCCATCATGCTGGGTATCAAACGCAGGGCCTTGTGCATGCTAGGCAAGCACCCTATCAACTGAGCTGCATCTCTACCTCCAAAGTTCTTTTGTCTTTCTTTTATTTTTATTTGGTTTTTGAGACATGGTCTCCCTGTAGCCTCTGCTGGCCTGGATCTTCACTGGCCTCTGCCTCCCATGTGCTGGAATTAAAGGTATGCACACTATCATACCTGGCTCCTTCCTTTTTGTTTTGAGATATGGTCTCACTGGACCTCAAACTGAAAACTCAATCCTCCTGCCTCAGTCTTTCCAGTGCTGAGATTATAGGTATGAGTCAGCACTCTCAGAAATATAGGCTTCTTCTGCTAACTTTCAATCCATGAGACCTCTGGAAAGGAGGACCCATAAAAATTTTTAGCTTCATAAAAATTACAGGTCTATATTTTTAGCCAAGTGTGGTGGTGCATGCCTTTTAATTCCAGCACTTGGGGTGGAGGGGTGGGGGTTGGCGGGGCAGAGGCAGGGGGGA